CCCTCACTGCCCCAACACTGCCCACCCACATACACTGCCCTCCCACCCTCACTGCCCCAACACTACCCTCACACCCTCACTGCCCCAACACTGCCTTCCCACCCTCACTGCCCTCCCACACTGTAACACACCCTGTCCCCCCACACTGTCACAATCCTCCACACTGCTCCCTCACCCTGTTACCCTTTAACACACTTGCACCCCATTTTGTCAGCCCCCAACACTATGTCACCAATACATACAGTCACCCCTCCCACACACTGCCCCTGCACACACTGTCACCATTTCCAACACTGCCTCCCACACTCTCACCTACCCACCGTCACAATTCCACACACATACTGTCACCCCCCACATGCTGTCATGCCTCCTTCACATTAGCCTCTCCTAATCTTGTCGCTCTCACTCCCTCCATCCATACCCCAATTACCAGCCCTCGCTCTTCCACACTCACCCTATCACACTCATCTTCTCTCATACTGTCACACTCACCCCCAACCCTTTCACATTAACCCTTTCACTTGTGCCCAACCATGTCACACTCACCCTGTCACATAATCCTGTCGGACTCACTTTCCCTCGCCTTGTCACACTTCCTCCTCCAGCCGTGTAACACATAACCCCAACCCTGTCAAACTCATCCCCCTTCACCCTATCACATTAACCTCTATCCTGTCACTCATCCTGCCAAGCCATGCCACACTCACCCTGTCACATAACCCTCCCTCATACTGTCACTCTCACCTCCCCTCGCCCTGTCACACTTTCTCCTTCAACCGTGCCACACTCACCCCAACACTGAATGCAGAGACTAGCTCTCTGTATCCAGCGTTGCAAGCCTGTCATTCAATATAACAGCAGCTCATTATACACACGATGCAACCCCTATATGTTTTATACTATGAGTATTAGTGGGGGGGCCTCTTGTTTGAGTTTCGCCTAAGGCCTCATAAAGTCTAGAGCCGCCACTGATGACATGTCACACATGTCATGTGTCCTTAAGGGATTAAAGTAGAACTGTCTATGGCTATGCTGATATTAATTGCACAGACAAACAGATAACTAAAAGTTAGCTCTGCGTTATGCTTTTATTTTGCCAAAAAACTTCAGCCATTTCTTTCTTTTTTGTTTTGACATGTTATGATAAGCAATGCTATGTAAATTCATTAACCTCTGCATTGCCGTATGTGCACATCTTACTCATGTCAGTAAAATAAGCAATCAACGTTCCAATCATTAGAACCAAATACACCAGCTGCCCAAATACATTATTTTCTGTAAAACTCCAGACAACATGACATTTAACATGTCAGACCAATGTTATCTCCCACAAACATGCTTGATTCAAGACCTCAGCTGGTTACAAACTCCTATTAATGTCTTGAAATATATAAATATTTTTAAATTGAATTTTTTTTGTTTTTATTGTGATTATATCTATACTATCTGTATTGACGGAGAAATGTTATCTCCCTTAAACACATTCAATCCCATGAGACCCCAGCAACAGACTGTCATTTGTTTTACATTGCTGTCAACATAACAAAAATGGAATATCCTCCCCTTATTCTTTATTAGATCTAAATCTATACTATCTATATCATGGTCAAAGCATAGATCCCAACTGCTGTGAAACTACAACTCCAAAGATGGTTTTTCAGCCTTAAAGCTTGCAAAGCATTCTGGGTTTCGTAGTTCAAATATCGCTGATGATCTTCCTCTTCACACCTCCCAGCATTTCAAATGGACAAAGAGGGAAACTTGACTCAGAAGTATCCTTAGTTTGGTTCACCAGTTTAATTCCTTTAAGGATGACATCATTTTGTATTCTGTTACTTTATTACATGTGAATCTCTGGTTTACTTATTCCGTATGGGCATAGTCCTTCAAATCCATAGAAGGAATGGCCTCTACTGATCCCATATAGAAGATTATTGCTCATTTAGCCATGGGCCAGGTAACACATGTGGCTATCAATATTAATTTGCAGTAGCCTGTTGGAGCAGCTCTTTCCCACACTCCAGCTTTATGCCACAGATTACCCCCCTGCTTCCTCCTCTATTCACAGCACCAGATGCCCTATTAATGGACACACTCCTATTGTCCCTGCAGGGGCTGTGATTGGCTGCTGAGTGTGGGAACCTGTGCTCAGTCTGATCCTCACATATCATTATACAGAGAGAGCAGTATATAGAGGGCCTGCCTGCCTCACTAGCTGCATATCACTGGATCACATAGCAGACAGGACTCCAGCTCTCACCCACTGACTGGACAGCATGGCCCCTTCTAGCCCTAGCATGGTGCCAGCTGATGGCAATGGGCACAGTGCACAAGGGATGAGAAAGGTAAGCCCTGATCAATGGCTGATACTGGACACTGGGGGGATGGAAGGATCGGAATTTTGGAATCTTTATTCAATGGATTTGTGGGTCTTATTTCACAGTTAGACATTTTACCATGTCAGATAAGGCTGTATTCATACTAATTTAATGTGTTTGTTCCTTTCTCCAGCTCAGGAAGCCAGTGATTGAGAAGATGAGGAGAGATCGGATTAACAGCAGCATTGAGCAGCTCAGGATGTTACTGGAGAAAGAGTTTGACAAACAGCAACTTCCATCCAAACCAGAGAAAGTGGATATTCTAGAGATGACAGTGACCTTCCTGCAGCAGCACCTGGCTGGGAAAAGTAAGTATCCTGACCTGTGTGTCTTTCACATCTGGAGAAATGATCATCTGTCACTGAGACTCAAACACTAAATGAAATGTCATTCTAATAATGGTCTTCTCTTCTCCCCCTTTAGCTGCTCCATCATCCAGCCAGAGCTACACAGAAGGTTACTCCAAGTGTCTCCAGGTCTCTGAGTGCTTCCTATCCCAGCACAGACAGACAGAGACCCAGGTGAAGCTGCTGCAGACCATCCATGGTGAACAGCCTCTTGCAACGGCGAGCTTGCCTTTTCAGTTGGGAGTGCACCATACAGCCAAGAAAGACCTAGTACCAGGGTCCCACAAAGCTGTATGGAGACCCTGGTAGTCACTGTGTGGACTTTATTGAACTGGAAACTTTTAGTGAACTCTCAGCAACCTGCCTGATCTATATTGGAGTGTTTGCTCTGCGTATCGAGTGTTTTATCATATAATGAAAGTGTAAGCATGTTACTAATGCTATTAGCCAATTATGTTTTATATTAAAACAACAGCTCAGGCCAGGAATTACTGCAATCTTACATGAAATGTTGGGTTTCACTGGTCAGAGTGGCACTGAATTTATATATATATATGTCACTGCTATTAATAGCCTTCTATGAAGATTGTTTTATAGCCATGTATAATTATATTATTATTATTACCATGTAATGCTAAGTACAGTGTTACGAACTGAGATGGGGACCTGGAGAGGCAAGTTACTACTGTACATTTCAATAAAGCTGCCTGAATATAGAAGTATTCTAATTGCTATAAAGAATAAATCCATGTAGACCTACTCCCATGATGCTTTGCCAGTCTTTAAAAAGGCAAAGGATCATGGTAGCTGTAGTTCAAAACATCTGCGGATCTACTTTCCGGCCACCCCTGATATAGACTTTTGTTGTACATTACAACAGCTGTATTTTCAATGAGGACTATACGTATTAATCCATTCAATAAATGGATGTATATTAAGTATCATGTATTGTTACGTGATTAGTACAGTTGCTTTATATGCTAACTTATTAGTTTTGTTAATTATTTTGTCATTTATAAATGCTGGAAAACGTGTAATATTTATGTGATTCGGTCTGCAATATTTGCAGCCTTTATATTTGGATTTTATGATATGCAATACTTGCAAAAATGTATTAATTATTTGTGAAATATTTTCACTTTCAAATAAATTTATTCTTAAATTCTTAATTTATTCTTAATATTTCTTTAAGTGAATTCAAACGTGTCTTCTTCTATGCAAAAATAAATAAATAGCACTTTTTGAAAGGGGAGAGGTTTTCTGGGTATGTCTATTTTAACAAACATTATACACATCCATTTTTATGCAAACAATTCATCTTTAAAACTGTTTTTTGCAACACCAATCTGCTATGCCCAATATTAAGATTCATATATACATATTTCATACACTGTAGATTACACCTTGGTTCTTGGGACCCTTTTCCATTCTACCATTCTACCTGGCGCTAAACTTCGGTACTCCCCTCAATGTAAAAGTGCTCAATTAAAGGGATACCTTTTAGGACCATAACTACAGCTCATTGAAGGGATTGAAGTAACAAAAGGTGACATTGAAAAGATTTTCACATTATAGTGGCACTATAAAACTGCCATAATAAAAAATACTACAGCATTATTATAGTGAACTTTATAATCATAGATATCGTAATTTGAGCACTGGGTACATTATGGTGTTTTAAATATATATACACCACTTCCATTTTTTATATTATAATGGAACACTCTATGCACCATAACTTTTACAGACCAAAGCTGTATGGGTATTATGTGTTTTGCATTAGCCACAACCACAGCAGAATGGCCTGGCTTAAATGAGACATGAGGATAGTACATTTTTGTCAAACTACTTAAAAATATTAATATGACAGCACTGTTTAAACTGGTTCTAAATGGCATGTAGATTGAGATTCTGAGAGTTAAAGTTCTGTGAGTTTAAAGGAGTTAAGGTTAGACTTATACACAAAGATAGGTCCTGCGCTCAGACTCCCACTGCTCCTGGGCCGCAGCAATGACCATAGTACACATCAGCCCAAATACATATAACAAAAAGAAAGAAAATAGTCACCTGCACACTATCCCAAATCCCTATGCATATTTAAATAAATTGAGGTTTTTTTTTTTTTTTTAATCCAATGGCCATTAGGTGTAAACCCACCTGCCACATCAAGGCAATGTCGGTCCTACTCTAACAATTCACCTTGATTCCTTCTGCTTCAGGTAAAAAATACCAAAGGATTAGGCTTGTGGTTGTGGGAGTTACAGTTACTTTATAGTTATGGGTCTCGATTATTTCATAGAACACCCCATTGGCTCACCCCATGTGCAGTAAGAGGTGGGTAAATTAAAACTACAGGGGGGGTCCCTCTGACACAAACTGTAGTATGCACACCCTTTATGCATGGCACCAAGTTGATGCCCAGTCCGCCTGGCACTAAAGGTGCCTAGAAACTACCTATGGAATTAAATACAGGTGGGCATGTGAGTTCATTTGATAGCCGTTCTCTGTATACTATTTTAAAAAGAACGTAAACTAGCATGGTCAGCCAATGTCTGCATCCTTGTCTCTGTCCATTGAAACAGACTGATTAAAATTATTAAAAATAAAAGTGACAATATACTGTAAAATAACATTCTTAAAAATAAAAAAGACAATAAGCCAATACGTGTAAAAGAAAACATTACATTGATTGACATTGACCAAGATTGCATTTGTCTCTTATTTCCCAATGCAGTAAATCATTTATTTAATGTTTGTTTAGCCTTCCACGCACAGCAAAATCATTTATTTCAGTTTAGAACGGATGAGCCGAATTTCCCAAATCAGCTCCCATATTGACATATTTGGGCTAAAGCCTCTTCTTAGCACGAAATATAGTAAACATCCTAATTAAGATTAATGGTTAAATTCAAGCAATATGTCCAAATTTACCAGGTTAGGTATATATTCACATAACAAATAAACCAGACGTATTTATTTAAAGTATAAATGTGAGAAATAAACTGTTATCATATCTGATCATTTACTGATAAAATTATGTTTCTCTCCATATTAAGAATAGATCAATAATCAGTCTTACATTATGAAACCATACACTCCCCAGCCCAGCAGTCAATGCACACAAGAGTAGATTGCTGATAAACAGATGCTCTCCCTGTCTCTCTCTCTTTCACATCTTTATCCCAAGCCTTTCCCACACACAGCAGGGCATTAGATACTAGCCCCAGACAATAGATGTGTCACATTCAACTGTGTCAGAAGACACCAGAACATCTGGGGATGGTAATATAATTGAAGGATTCAAGGGGAAGAATCTGTGGGAAAAGTCGACTCTAGAAGAACACATCATTCATTAGTCTTAATAACTTTCTTTCTGGGGCATTTGTTACATTATGAGTGTTTTCTGTTTATTAGGAAATGAGTGAATTCTAAAGTGGAATTGTCTATTGTAACCACTATTACATTGGTGTTATATAGTATTCATTTAGCATGGTATAATTACTGCAGGTATTTTATTTTAAAACATATATTCCAAATCTGATTCAATTGAATATGTATCACATGTAACATTCCAAAAATAGTTACATTTGTATTTTATGTGGAATATGTATGTTTTGGAGTATTGCAAAAATAAGCATATTGGCATATCTTATTGTCTTAATTGTACTACATTGTACCAGTACTTGTAACTGTATTTAGGATACAATGTATCTTAGTAGCTATATTTGGATTATTTTCATTCACATTGTGAGGGACTTCCGTGTTTTTAAAACACGAAAAGTGTTCTAAACGACGCTGATCGTCCTCACGCTATGCATGAGGACCTCCAGGTCTAATGCACGCATGCGGCCATTTCCGCGCATGCGCATTGGGTCTCTCCTGCCAACTGACGTCGGTGGGTAAGGAGAATGGATGGAGCCTGACCTAGCACCAAGGGACATCGGCGCTGGATTCAGGTAAGTCACTGAAGGGGTTTTAACCCCTTCAGCAACATGAGATGGGGGGTGGGAGGGAGGGGGCACTGCGGGGTCCTGCAGTGCCAGGAAAACGGGTTTGTTTTCCTGGCACTGGATATTCCCTTTAATAAATGTCACTATATTCATATATATATATATTGTTCATATATTGTCACATATTCAAAAAAATTGTTATCTAAAAATTGAAATGCATTATTAATTATTGGAGCAATGTTTAAAATGTCAGCAATTTAATAACTGTAACATTATTTAAGAATGTTTTGTGCAGTATGTATTACTATGGCTAGATGTATTATTATTATTATTATTATTTAAAAAGTGCCAACATTTTGCCAACTATGGGTTCACAAAGACTTAACTCACAAGTTTGACTTGTAGGAACAAGAGGTTGTGATGGCTCTGCTCAAACAAGCCTTCAATCTAAAGAATCGCCGCTATTTAAAATATAGCCTGTGATATATTCTATTGTAGCTATAGTTAGAATGTCAAATGTGATATGCATTATTATAGCTTTATTTGCCATAACGTTTTTTATATGTATTATTGTAGCTGTGCTCATAATTTTAATTTTCAAAGCATGATACATATATAAAAAGGTTATATACATATATATAAACATACACACACACAAACACGTACTAAATCGGAAATTGTGGAGGGGATCTGAAATTTTGGTGCAAAATCAATTAGCTATTTTGAACTAAAATGTGTAACCTCCTCTTTAATGCCCCAAATGTCCTGCTTTAATGAATAATGTGTCATGTTCCATAGAAACATAGAATGTGATGGCAGATAAGAACCATTCGGCCCATCTAATCTGCACAATTTTCTAAATACTTTCATTAGTCCCTGGCCTTATCTTATAGTTAGGATAGCCTTATGCCTATCCCACGCATGTGAAACCTCTACATCCTCACTGTATTAACATCTACCACTTCAGCTGGAAGACTATTTCACGCATCTACTTCCCTATAAGTTAAATATAATATTTTAAAAAATTGTGAACCTTCCAGGCAGTTTTCTATAAACCATCCAAGTTTTTCTTTAAACTAAAATATGCTTGGTTGGTTAATATTGATTAAAGGTATTGTTGCAACAGAGAGGTTCACTTTGACACAGACTACATTTTTAACCAAGCTTCTGATATTCTGCATCAAGAGGGAGATAACGGAGGTCTGTAGAGTATGCCTTTAGAAGACATAGCTATACTGATCTCCAGTCTGCTCTTACTGACCAACAAAGGAATTTCCATCCTCTTGAGTGATATTAGGAAGTGTGCCATTGACTGGTTTCAGACTTCAAAGACAGGAAAAGAGGGTGAGTTTTATTATAATTTATATGAGGCATGCAGTCACTAGGTGTCAAAAGTGACAAGCATGTGTCCAGCACACTTTCTCACCTTGCCTTGTAAAAAATAAACCTACTGTGTCCCAAGCTGCCAGTGTGGGAAAGTAAAATAACCTTGGCCCTCTATACTGATATGTGAACTTGTTTTGTTTTAGCTTATTATTATTTCAGCTATTTTGTAGGGTTTCCACTTTTTTTTTATCTAATCACG